GGCCAGGTGGCACCTCCCGCTGCTGAGGGCTTGTGGCGGTAGGTCGCTTAAACCTAGGAGTTTTAGGCTAGCCTGGACAACATAGTAAAATCCCGTTTTCAAAAGAAAATACAGAAACCACCTTTCTGCCTTTTTAGGTTCACTCAGCTAGTGCCCTCTAGGGGAGTCATGCTGTAGCGAGTGTCAGAATTCCCTTCTCTTTAAAGGCTGAGCAGAATTCCATGGTTTGTGTGGCCACATAAATGGTGCTGCTATTTCTAAAATTTTCTAAAATTTCTAAAATTTTCGTTCTAGTTAGTTTCTGTTTTTTGGGACAGGGTCTCGCCATGCAGTTCAGGCTGGCCTTAAACTCACAATGTAGCCCAACCTGGCCTCAAACTCACGGCAACCCTCCTGCCCCAGCCTCCTGAGCGCTGGGATCATAGGTGTGCGTCACCACGCCTGGCAACATTGCTACTCTTAGACAAAGCAAGAAATCCATAAGCAGTGGTTTGCAGTAAGTTGGGGTTTTCCTTGGCTGTGATGTGAATGTGTCACTCCTACGAATCACAGTCCGTGAGCTTACAGTTTTCCCTACAACCCTCTTCTCTCTCTTTTATTGGAGATGGGGTTTTACTGTATAGTTTAGGCTGCCCTTGAACTCACTTTGTAGCCCATGTTGGCCTCAAACTCATAGTGATCCTCCTGCCTCAGCCGCCCAAGTGCTGGGGACAGGTGTGCGCCACCACGCCTGCCCAGCTCTTGTTTCTTGGTGGGGGCGAGGGTGCAGCTTAGCGCGGGATCTGCAGGTGCGTGCAGGGCTGGGCCATCCCTGCATCCCGTGCCCCAGGGGCACCGTCAGTCTCCAGGCTCCTGCATGGGCCCTGGGGGTTTTCCCAGGTCAGCTCTGCGCGGCAGTGACCCGGTCTGGGCGTCCAGGGCTGCTGTATGCTCTGCTGTCCTGTGCTGTTTTCTTGACTTGTGAGACAGGAAGTTGTGATGATAGAAGGGGAAATGTCTAGCTTCCCCCTTTAAAGTCTCTGCTGGTGGGGTGTGGTAGCACCCGCCTGTAATCCCAGTTAGGCTGAGGCAGGAGGATCGCTGCAAGTTCAGCTCCAGCCTGGGCTACATAGTGAGCTCAAGGCCAGCCCAAACTACACAGCGAGACCTGAGTTCCAGCAGTTCCCCTGGAGCTGCCCACTTCTGCGGCTGCATCCATACGTTTGTTTCTCCTTTGGACTGTGTCCTTGGAAGCACCGTGGCCAGGAGCAGGTGCATTCCAGGTTCTTGTGCTAGGGGTGTGGACCCCACGGTCATTCTGTAATGGGCCTGCTATCCCTGAAATCTGCAGGTGCAGCACCTTTGACTAGTGTGTGCCTGGTTGATTGATCATTTCCCCTCTATTTCCAGCCTCTCTGCTTCTGTTTGAGGTGAATTTTTGATGAATGTGATACAGTTAGTTGGGTTGGGATTTAAACACTTAAACCTTTTAAAAGTTTGACTTTAATTTTATGATTTGTGTATATGTGGTACCTGAGATTGACCCATACCATTTCTACCACTGAGCTGTACCCCCAACCCTTTTTGTATTTTACTTTGAGACAGGGTCTTGCTGAGCTGCCCAGGCCAGCTTTGAACTTCAGTCCTCCTGCGTCACCTCCAGAGTAGCTGGGATTTGGGCGTGTATCACCATGCCTGGGAGGGTTGGTATTTGTTACCATTCTGACACTCTGTCTTTAATTGGTGTTTTTAGATTATAATTAATCTCATTGCTGACATGTTTGAGGTCTGTTTTACTTGATCCCTCTTCATTACTACTTCCTGTCCTGCCTTTTGGACCCTCTTTTGCTGCCGGTGGCCACCCTCAGGCCCCGGCATGCTGAGCTTGTGCTTGCCCCAAGCCACACTGGGCCCCTTCCCACCTTCTTCTACTGTGAATTTGAACAATTCACAGTATCCCATTTTAATTTTTTCCAAATTATCTATTTAAAACTTACCTATTTTTCTTCATGTAGCTTTCTTTTGTAACTGCTGTGAGGATCACAAAATGTGCTGATTAGCTTTTCACAGTTTAATGAGGAGCACAATTTCAGTACTTCTAGAGAAGGTAGAAATTGTTTTTTTTTTGGTATGGGGCTCGAACTCAGGACCTCACGCTTGCCAGGCAGCCACTGTGCCACTGAGCTACTTCCCCGGCATGAAGGTAGAAGTCTTAGCACCATAAAAGTTTGCTTCTCCCTTTAATGCTGGCTGTCTTAGGTTTATATAATTTAATTACATACGTAAATATTTACATGTTGGGAGCTGCTGGAGCTGGTTGTTGGTCCTGTGTGTGAGGGTGGGACAGAGCCAGAGTGCCTCGGGCAGTCAGGCTACCTCAGTATTGAAAAAAGTACCCTGCTCGGACAATTACAGTCTCAGTCTTAGTCGCTAGGCAACGTTATCTCTCATGATACTACTTTTGCAAGACTATAAAATAACCACCCCTACTGCTGAAGTCAGTCCTCCTGTTCATCAGGCAGGAGGTAATGCCACCTGACCCCCGCTATCGTCTCTTGTCTTTATTTTCTAAATCCTCTTGCCGTTTTCTCCCGGCGACCACCGAGAGACCGCGGAGACCCACATTTACAGCTGTACATACATAGGAGCTGGGTGTGACTCGGGATTTTTATGGGCGGGACATCCCTCGGACCGTGCTGTATTTTTGCTTCCCTTCACTGAGCTGCGTGAAGGATTGCAGAACAAAGTCCAGGCCACTCACTCCGCCCTTTCTGCAGCCTTCACTTCGCTCTTCGTGTCCCAGAGCTGCCCACTGTCACTTCCCTGCCACCTGAAGAGCCGCCCTCAGCCTGCGGCCGAGCGGTCTTCACTCCCTTGGCCGGACGGCCTCGCTCCAGCACCGTCCGAAGGGTGTGCGCAGAGCTGGACGCTGGGCTCCGGTGGGGCCAGGCTGCGGCGGTGCTGTGTGTGTTTTAGCATGCGTGAAGCCTCGGGCTCCACTCCTGCTGCTGCTTCCTGGGGGAAGTTCGGTTATTCCAACTGTTCCTCCTGGGGTTTGTTTCGTATATTTTGGTATATTTATATGGTGTATTTTAGCTGCTGAAGCGAGTGTGGGTTTATTTTATTTAGGATCAAGAGAGTTCCTTGTATCTGTAAACAAAAGTCCCCAAGTTTGGGGGTTCTCAGTTATTTCTGCTGCTCTTCCTCCTCCTGGCACACACGAGCCTTGCACTTGCCCCGAAGCTCCCTGAGCTCTTGTGTTTTTGTTTTCACGCCTTTTTCGTCCTTGGTATTCAGGTTAGATCATTTATGTTGCTTTATTTTCAAGTTCGCCGAACCTCTCCCCTGCTCTTGAGCTCCTGTAGGTGTTTCCGATTTTCTCTATTGTGTCTTTAGTTCTGAGATTTCCATTTGGCTCTTCTTGGTATTTTTGTTTGTGTTTTGCTGACTTTCAGCTTTTTCTTCTGACTTGGAAGTGTTACAGTTATTTATAGGACATTTCAGGGTAGCTGCCTTAACGTCATATAGATAATTGCAGCGTCTGCGTTGCGCTGGCGTTGCTGTCCTCCAGAATGGTCTTTCCTGGAGGAGGTGAGGTATTCCTGGAGCGTTGTGTGCTGAGTGATTTGGGTGGGGCTGGGCATTTGGGACACTGACAGGTGACCCGGGTCTTCCTCCAGTACAGGAGAACGTTGGTGTTCTTACTATAACAAGCCCACAGCGTGCTTGAACGTAGCCCACCTTCCGCATGCGCGCGTCGGCGTAGGTGTTTTCCGCCCAGCCTCTGAAGCGTGGGTTGCATCTGTCCCCAGCGCCACCACGGCCACCCTGGCTGTCGTCTGTGGCCTGAAGGGGATTGGATCACACCATGTGATAGGCTGGAAGTTCCCCTTCACCCAGCCCCGGGACTTTCCTGCTTTGTGAGGCCTCCCTGCCTAGCTCCCGGCCAGCCGCCCTGACGCTCACTGACCGAGCCAGCCCTGGGCCTCCACGTGACCTGGCTTCTTCCCTTTGCACCCTCGGCCCCCTTGCTGCTCCCCTTCCAGGGTCCTGCCTGGCCACCCCGAGTGCGGTCAGGGCTGGGCTGTCTCCGGTGCCCCGCCCTGGTGGCCCTGCCCCTCAAGTCCAGCTGGTCAGAGCAGGTGCAGTGGGGGTGGAGTGCTGACTCTGCCCGCTGAGCTGCCACAGACGGCGGCCTCGTGGGCCGTCCACCTCCCTGTGCTCCCAGCCTGCCTTGTGGCTCCTCCGCCCTCAGCGGGACAAAGCCTCGTGTTTCCCCTCTCAATTCCCAGCGCAACTGGAGGAGTGAGGGGTGGGGGTGTCCGACCCTCCAGAGAGCCCTGGCACGGGCAGCTGTGAGCAGTGGGGATGGGGCAGATCCTGCTGTGACACTTCCTGGCCCGCATGCTCCTGGGGAGGCACGTTGTAACTGGACCCCTCTGGCTCTTCGGTCCTTGTTCTGGGGCAAGGAAGAATGAAGTCTACAAAACAGCAAGCAGCAAGCAATGAGGAATGGCCAAGTGCATGTTTAGTAGAAAGAATAAAAGAAAAGCTGTCTGCTAGCTGTAAGGGTGTTCCCTAAGGCGGGCGCAGAGGAGGTTCAGACTCTGGGGTCTTTATATAGTGTTTGGTACCGTGTACCTGACAGAAAGCAGGCACGCTGCTGCTTCAGGTAAGCCTTGGAGCCGGCAGGTGCTTACTGCTTCCTTTGCATCTTACTTCCTCCAGGGTCTCCCATCTGGTTAGGGTCCTGTTTCATTTTGGTAACTAAGTCACTTGGGTAACTCACTCACTCAGTCCTTTTGCTGTGCTAACTCACTCAGGCCCCGACCTTTAGTTTAGTTTACATTACCTATTCAGGACCTGTGCCCTACCTGTTTAACTTCCGCATCTCCTGGCTTCAACCTTACCCCGAGGACTTGGCCATAATTGAATCAGTCACACCCAGGGCCCTTGGCAGAAGGGAAGGGGGCCAGGAGTCCGGGACCCCCTCCTCAGAAACCTGTCTGGCTTCCTCATAGCACAGTGGCTTTGTGTCCCATCCTGTCCCAGCATGGCGGCCCAGGTGACGCTGGAGGACGCCCTGTCCAACGTGGACCTCCTGGAGGAGCTGCCCCTGCCGGACCAGCAGCCCTGCATCGAGCCCCCGCCATCGTCACTGCTCTACCAGGTGGGTTCCGGGTGGCAGGGCCTGGGCGCGGCAGGGCTCCGACCTCACGGCGATGGCATTTCTCTTCCCTTCAGCCGAACTTCAACACGAACTTTGAAGACAGAAATGCGTTTGTCACTGGGATTGCCCGGTACATCGAGCAGGCGACCGTCCACTCCAGCATGGTAAGGCTGCCCGGGTCCTCGCTGCTGGGAGGGGCACGGTTGAGTGGCACGGCTGTCGGGGTCACCCTGCTTGTGCAGTAAGGAGAAGGAACGGCGAGTGGCGTGCTCCCTCACGCACCTGGCTTCGGTCCTCTTACTTAAAAGGGACGCGTGCTTCTTCTGAAAATTTCGTACTATTTGTGGCCCAGAGAAAACAGAGGCCCGCGCTCTGAAGGTGACTCTTCAGGTCCGTGTGGTTCTGCCCCCGCACCCTGGGGCCAAGGTGCACTCACGGAGGGTGAGGGGTCCAAGTGAGTTGCGTTGTTACAGTCATGTATGGTAGGGGCTGGGAATTTAGCTCAGCGGCACAGCGCCTGCCTGGCAAGCGCAAGGTCGTGAGTTCGATTCCCAGTAACAGAAAAAAACAACAAAAAAAAACCCAACTGTGTATTGTAATGATTTCGCCAGCATCCTCACGTTGTGAAAATGTGCTAGAGAAAGTAATCTAACTCTGTGTGGTCCATTTGGTTACTGTCTGCAGTTCAGCTGTTCCGGTGCTTTTCCTTAGTTCCTCCCTTTCTGTAGTAATCCTTACCATCTTTCTAGCAGACGAAGTTACAGGGTGAGAGTCTGTGATTACTTTAAAGCAACTTAGAAACACTGGCAGAGGCAGGTGACATTTTAAAGAACATCAGTGTGATTTTTAAACCATATTTTCCGAGGGAAAGAATAGGACATAAGTGAAGTTTTTAAAATCAGCGACAGTCAACGACAGTCGTCTGCGCTGATTACTCTCCCTAGATTTTAAGCGCGCTGGGATCGCTTCTCGCCCCTGGGGCTCTGAGTCTGAAGGCCGGTGTGGCCAGGGGGCCTGGATGCTGTCAGCGGCTGTGGCCCAGGCATCCGCCCCAGGCCTGCAGCCTCAGATCTGCCTGCAGCCGCGTTCAAGCGCTGACCTGTGCTCCCCCGCCGCCTCCTGTCCCAGCCCGCAGAGGCCCTGGGGGTGTGCGTGGCCGCTGAGGTGCCCCCGCAGCACCTCCGGCTTCCTAGCAGGTGTCGTGTGGCGTGGAGGCGTCAGGGCACGAGAGGGAGAGGCACAGTAGGCTGCGGCACTTGGTCCACACTCCAGCAACTTGGTGTCTCCTCTGCCCGCTTCCCGCCTGTGATCGCCCCGTGTGCTTTGCAGAACGAGATGCTGGAGGAGGGCCAAGAGTACGCGGTCATGCTGTACACCTGGAGGAGCTGCTCGCGGGCCATCCCACAGGTGCGCGGCCCCGCCCACCCCG